TGTTGCAACTTCATATATATTTAAAATTGCCTCCAATCTTGAATGACTGCCTTCCCGGTTAACAATTCAAATGGACCGCCCTTTTTTGGACTGGTGGAATTAAACCCCATTTCAGTTTTACAAGATATCTATATTCTCCGTTTTTCTTACCACGCAAATCGTTTTTACCGCTCTGGTTATACTATTTTGTACCAAATGCACGAATTGAAGAGTACAATAAAGTGAAATTCTGTCACGTGAATCCCAAACGGCAAATAGGGAAGTATTACTTGACAGGATGGTCTTCAACCAACTTCTGACGTGCGACGGTCAAGCGTTAGCACCGCTCTGCTGAAGTACGGAACAGCATCATCGGTTGTTTGACAATGCGCTGGGGGTGAATTTTGAAAGTTGATGACATCTCAAGCTATCCAAAACTACGGCGAGCAGGCTGACGGTGTCCGTTCCAGGCTTGTGTTGCTCGCCCAAAGCAGAGCTCTGTTTTGGGGTTTTCAGACTTCAACATCTCTGATGCCATGTTCTTATGAAGGGTACCATGAAAATCGGGTGACCGATCATATATACATTCACGACGCGAGCACGCTGCGCCTTTGAGCAGGCTTTTCCACTTTTTCGAGAATATGATGTGTGGAGAGTGCTGGCGTTACGTTTTTGGTGGATGAAATGACATCATGGCTACGGGCTTACAACAACGAGCGTTGCTGTGACACAACACCGTGCTGGTTTATGTGCGCCAAGCCGTTAGGAAGCACGTGCGTTCCACTGACACGTCACCACTTTTTGCATATAATCTATGACCGCAATTGACAGGTGCGACCCGCTTTCACAAAGTGACCGGACAAATTATTCGCTCAGGTTGATTTCGTCCTCTTTTACGAATCCCAAGAAAAACCGTCCCTGGCTTCGTCTCATATTCAAGTGCTCATTGGCTATACAGTACCTGCAAGTAGGCAATTCACTAATGAACTAACAGGTTCACTGAATCATGGCCTGATGCACAGGATCAAGGCTTTCGCCCAAGTTTTCCGGGTCCGATTGAATTATTTCTAATTGTCGTTAATGTTTGCTGCCGGTGACCAAGGAACGAGCGTAAAGCGTTTAGGCCCCTGGCACTTTTCTCCCGATACTCTTAATTGCTGAATGAACAAACAAATGGGGGAAGCAGCCACAAAAATTGTGTTCGCTTCTTGGAAAGCGCAATCTCCGAGTCTCAAGAACACTCAGTTGCGCAGGGTTGAAAATTAGATGGGACAAGTGGGTCTGCTGGACCCGGTGTTAAATACGCCGGAGCACATTAGCCTCGGCTCCGGAGCCTGTGAATATGTTGTTTAAGCTTTATCTATATGCTTATCCTCTAAGAGACGATATCGCAGCCTCGAGGGTAGTGGTCCTAGGTACTCCGAAAAGAATGAGGATACATACGCGGCCGTCTGGCGAAAAATGATTAAGACAGTGATGTTCTTAGGAGTTATCTTTCATGCTGGAGTGTAAAGTGAGGTTGACCAAAAAGGAGAGTAGTTGGGGTAGTGTCCAAACGGGCCGCACGATAAAATACATGTAACTGCTGATGCAGAACTTCAACAAACATTGCATATATGTGATAATGATAATGTTCGTTCCCAACAAGTGGTTGGCATACTTCAGGCATGATAATACGGTCACGGTCAGAGTAAAAGAAGGATGGGGGCTTACACGAAGAAGGGACGGCGTCATAACCAGTGGGCAAATTTCAACGCAGACTTGGTCATGCCTGAACTGGCAGGGGAAGGCAAACACGTTACCAGGAGTTTATCGTACTTTTGGAAGAAGGTATCAAGCTCAAACACATTAATATCTTTAGGGTTTAAAGATGGCGTGTAAAAGCAGAAAATTATGGCAAAAAGATGCATCTTGCCTGGCACGTGGTCAGAAAACTTCAAATCGCAGAGAATGATGAACCAGAGCGACGAATCTGGTGCCATATGTAGCACGCGTTTTCTCTTTGCTTTACGCGGATGTGGCTTAGCAGAACGTCATGGACGAACAGGACACTGACCGCTCGCTTTTTTCGTCATATTTTCCTTCATGAACGTCTCTCCGTTACTCTCCGACAACCTCTTGAGCAAGTCAAAATCACGCTGTTCGTTATTCACAGAAGCTGACCAACCAAAATCCCATGATCAAGACATATAAGGACCTGTTCCTACTAGCCACAAACCGGCTGTTTTGAAAAGACCTTGTTCAAAAGGCTGGTAAATTGCGTTTCCTTGACAACCAGGACTCCTCATGTACACCGCAATAGCAGTTTGTTGTGTTCCAGCGGAACTTATGGCTGTAGATTACTTTTTGATTCTGTCAAGTGGCTGTTATCACTCGCGTGAACTAGCCTCGACTGAATGCCTGCCACCTATCATAATGAGATCACATTGTCATGTATTCATCTATCGCAGCAAGCCCAGTGTCTGACGTTTGCGCTTTGGTTAGTAGGTGCTTGCTGTAGCCCGTCAAATATCAGTGGCACTAGGCCAGCAAACTTTGTACGTACCCAGTTATTCGACTTGCAGAACGTCATACACAGACTGGCTCGTCTTGAGAACGTGAACAAGATGGTGATGAACCACTAAGGATGTTTTCTGAGGCTCTTTGAAAACAGTGCAATCAAGCAGGCGTTTCCTCCATTTTTCGTAATTAGGAAACGCTCCCAAATTACACACATCGTCTGATTTCTTGACTGCTGATTGGTTTCGGAGGCCACCTTCTAACAGTACAGCAGCCACACAAAACAAAATATTGTTTATAAGTTTTTGATGACCACATGCACAAATATGTTGTGATCATTTTCAGTGAATTTAATAAAAACTTTCATTAAGGCTGAAGGGAATAAAAGCAATTTCTTCATAAGAGTCTCTTTGGAAATCGGGTGAAAACGTGCTTGCTTCTCGAACTGTTAGAAGCACACCCAAAACATGTTTTAAATCAGTCAGAACAATCAAATTGTACACAGATTTGTAGAGCTTGACGGTATTTCGCGAGAAAACACGCGGCTCATCTAGACAGATAGCTTTTGCAACAAGCTTCAGCTTGATTAAACTACTTTTGATGTGAGTTTCGATACCGCGTTGACTGCCGTGAATAAGCGTGATAGGCCACTCAAGATGGATGAGATTTTTGCAAAAATTTCTCCTAGACTCTCCTTCATTAGGTGTAGTTCGAAACTATTGGTAGGATCATATTACCTACAACTACGTTGAATTATTCCGCACTATCTGAAGCGGGCACAATGTACGCACGAATTATGTACTAAAGTCATTAGTTACGGCAATTGGCGTGCGTGAGAGGGAGCTAAATCCTAGATACGTTGAGGAACCTAAGTTTACGGTATTAACTGCCTAGATAGGTTTTACCTTGGCATGAACTGAAGAGTACAACAAGGTGAAATTCTGTTACGTGAATCCCAAACGGCAAATAGGGAAGTATTACTTGACAGGATAGTCTTCAACCAACTTCTGACGTGCGACGGTCAAGCGTTAGCACCGCTCTGCTGAAGTACGGAACAGCATCATCGGTTGTTTGACAATGCGCTGGGGGTGAATTTTGAAAGTTGATGACATCTCAAGCTATCCAAAACTACGGCGAGCAGGCTGACGGTGTCCGTTCCAGGCTTGTGTTGCTCGCCCAAAGCAGAGCTCTGTTTTGGGGTTTTCAGACTTCAACATCTCTGATGCCATGTTCTTATGAAGGGTACCATGAAAATCGGGTGACCGATCATATATACATTCACGACGCGAGCACGCTGCGCCTTTGAGCAGGCTTTTCCACTTTTTCGAGAATATGATGTGTGGAGAGTGCTGGCGTTACGTTTTTGGTGGGTGAAATGACATCATGGCTACGGGCTTACAACAACGAGCGTTGCTGTGACACAACACCGTGCTGGTTTATGTGCGCCAAACCGTTAGGAAGCACGTGCGTTCCACTGACACGTCACCACTTTTTGCATATAATCTATGACCGCAATTGACAAGTACGACCCGCTTTCACAAAGTGACCGGACAAATTATTCGCTGAGGTTGATTTTGTCCTCTTTTACGAATCCCAAGAAAAACCGTCCCTGGCTTCGTCTCATATCCAAGTGCTCATTGGCTATACAGTACCTGCAAGTAGGCAATTCACTAATGAAATAACAGGTTCACTGAATCATAGCCTGATGGGATGGATCAAGGCTTTCGCCCAAGTTTTCCGGGTCGGGTTTTCTCCCGTCGTCCGGCGGCTATCAATCATCTGAAATGCACAAAAACAGGTGCCAATCATCTGAAATGCACAAATTAAAACAGGTGCAGCACTGCCCTTTAAGTTCTTGGCGGAGCTCGCACAAATAAGCTTATATTAGTGCTTTGAACTGGGTTCCAGGTTGAGCATGGACAACCAGGCAGGCACAACCTGAAATGAGAAAAATTTGCTTGTTCTAACGGCATAAGTTAGATTTATGTCCCCTCACAGGCAACGATACTTCAGCAAAAAGAGGCCAAGCACCGCCAGTCGCGTTTCTTAGTCCACGGATTTGAGGCCGGCAACCAATCTCACAGCAGCTCGCTTGACACGCCCAATGAGGGTTAAGCCTTCCTGGCATCGCAGTTTGCTCGCTCTAAAAACCTGATCGACAGCTTTCTTGAAAATGCTAATGGGTGAATTAAACGGCGTGTGCACCACGCCGTAGCCGAGAACAGTAATTTGCAAGGCCTCAAGCCACAACGACAAGGGAAGTGCACGCCTAGGAGGTACAAATAAGCTTACAGATATGACCGCCGAGATACTTTGGAGACAGCTTTTATCTTCATAAGGCCTGCCATATGACAACGAATGACGCCAGCTAAACCCTCAGGTAGATTGGCACGCGCACACCAAAACCCAAGGCCTGTCAGTTTGGCTAGTGCAAGGTGAGAGTTACGTTGTTGATATCGGTTATTTTTTGGTGCGAACACCCGAATGCTGTCCGACTGCTAACACATTAACTGATGCCAATACATGCACACTCTACCGACCCATGTCACCACTGCTTTCGTACCGGCGTATCAAACAAATAAAAAAGAATAGTTTGATGGATTTGTTTTTTTAAATATACGAGCGGGGTTGGGACGGAGCGACGATGCATATGGTTACGAAAATTGAAGCCTGCTGGTGGTCATCGGATTTCCATATCATGTGTAGTTATGCACTTGGTATCAAAAGCTCAAATATATGCGTGCCTCGTAGTTACTTTTGACAAACGGTTCGGCCGTTTCTCTCGATTTGATGAAAACCCCTGTTTTTGTGTATCTTTTGGGCTCTTTTTGCTCTTTGTGGTGGTATCCCTCTTAGTGCTGTTATGCTTTTTACTCGCAATGCCCTGTCAGCAAAACGCCCGTGATTCACAAGGATGTTTGGTGCATACATATGTCAACTATCGCACACGAGATGATAATCTCTGTCTAAGCTTCACATTGTGTCCGATTTCCGTTACCATTTCACTACATGCAATTTGTGCGTGATAAACCACGACGTAAAATTAAAATTTCCGGATCACTCCCATTGTATTCTTCGCATCGGTCGAGAAGATGGAATGTAAAATTTGGTTAACTGTCCATCAAGCTGGTGTACGCACCGAAAATTATTATACTTCTGATTCGAATTTTTAGGACATTGCATCCTTTAAAATCATGTTTTGTTGATGGACGTTCAGTTAGGTAACATCGTCAGTTTTGGTGAACTCAAAATTCCCGTCAATTAAATCGATATCTTCCAGCATATATATCTAGGGTGCACAGTCTCCCTCAGCTGACGCCCCGCAGGTTGCGACACCCAATCTAACACAGTTTCGGGCTAGATCCTCAACATTCCTGCCTCCGCGATGACTGCAGTTGTCCAGTATAATTTTTTCTGTGAGAAAATCCTGGTAGTGTTGGTTCCGGAAGGGGTACCCAGAAAAACTAAAATATTATTAAATTACCACTGTGTGCCCGCAAAATATGTTGTGTGACAATGCGCTGGGGCTGAATTTTGAAAGTTGATAACATCTCAAGGTATCTAAAACCACCGCAAGGAGGCTGACGTTGTCCGTTCCGGGTTTGTGTTGCTCGCCCAAAGCAGAGCTCTGTTTTGGGGTTTTCAGACTTCAACATCTCTGATGCCATGTTCTTATGAAGGGTACCATAAAAATCGGGCGACCGATCATATATACCTTCGCGACGCGAGCACGCTGCGCCTCTGCGCAGGCTTTTCCTCTTTTTCGAGAATATGATGTGTGGAGAGTGCTGGCGTTACGTTTTTGGTGGATGAAATGACATCATGGCTACGGGCT